GGAGCTTGCCCGAGTGGAGAGAGAGAGAGTGTGGCAGCTGCTGCTCAAGAAAATACCCATGCCCTTCGACGTCATGTGTGACCCAGATTGTTGGACCTGGCCTGCCCTGCTGCCCTAGAACGCCCGAAGGCGTGGATTGCTCAGATCAGAAGTACGCCGAGGTGAAAGAGGTTGTGGAGTTCCTTAGGTTCAAAACTTCGGGGAGTTTCACAACGCTTACTTGAGCACTGACATGGCGCTGGCTGACGTACTCAAGCACCACAGGGAGACGTTTTGGGAGCACTTCAGGCTCGATCCTTGCCAGTACCTAACCCACGCGTCTGCCAGCCACGATGCGATGCTGCGAATGTGCTGCCCTCGCGAGAAACGCTGTTTGGGCCTAATGACGGATTCTAGGATCTACCAGCTCACGAAGCACAACATCAGAGGAAGTTTGGAACACATCGCGCAGCTCTTTGCCAAGGCGAACAACTCCATGCTTTCCGACTTTGAGCCGCAGCTGGATCGCTTCTGGATCCTGTTCTGCGACGTCAATAGCATGTACCCGTCCATCATGGCGAAACTATTGCCTGTGGACGGAGGGGAGTGGATAGAGCGGCCACTTGGAGTTGGAACATTGGTTCTGGAGGTACGAAGCCGTTGTAGCCTCCTTCAGGTGTCCTGCCTCACAACTAGGGAGTCCAAGTATTGTCGAACTTCGCCTCTGGTGATGGTTGGATCCTGAGCTCTGGCTAGTCTCAATGTTTGCTCCTGATTGCCAAAACCCGTTCGAGGATTCTCGTAGACTTGTCTGATGACGTTTCGCCTGGCTTCTGCAGCCATAGCGTCTTTTTACCCATAACTGTCGAGCTGTGTGGAGAGATAGCGCTAAGCAACCGTTCTTGCGAGGTCATGGAAAGAGTGGTGGCGCTTGTCGCCGAACTCTTGGGCAAGCAGTGCGGCCTGAACGGGAGTGATGTGAATGAAGTCACCCGCTGTGTTTGGGAGGTAGGACAGCTCTCGTTATGTTGTAGGGAACTTCTGGTATCTACGAAGGGGGTCATGTCTAGCTTTAAACAGAAAGTGATTTTGCTTCATGGAGAGTATGTGGAGCGACAGCTACAGAAGTGGAGCGAGCTTCTGGTCTTTGAACACTTCGAAAATTTAGGAATACCAATACGAGCTGCTGATGTGACGC